TGCTTTGGTTCACAGTTTAAGAAGAATACACGGTGGGCAGAAGACACCCAAGTACAGCCCAGACTCAGTAGCCTGGGTGGGAGGTTGCCAGTATGATAAACAAATATATGATAGAGAGGTGCGAAATACAGAAAAACTGAATGGTGTGTGTGCTATGGAGAAAGGCAGAACTGGAGACCTGGTGGTAGTGATGGATAAGAGGGCTGGTGGACATGCTGTCATTGCCCAGTAGGATCAGTGGGGGGTGATGTACAACAGCTTGGAGCACAGACTCAGACCCCAAACCTGCTACCCTGCCAAGGATCCCCCTGGCTCTGGGCAATGATGGAATCCCTAGATGAAGAAAGGTTCACTTTCTGAATTGGACCTTCTTGAAGGACCATCATGATCTATGAAGCCACCAGAGGCCATGTTGGTATCTGTGGTCCATGCTGCTGCCCCAGGCAGGACATGATGAAACCTGAGATCTATGTGGACATATGCAGTCTGTCCTGCTGATGGCTGACGTGGTGATGTCCTCAGGCTTTTCTGCTTTGGGGGGCTGTCTTGAGGCTTGGGGCTCATGTAGCTGCTGAGTGCCATGAGTGGGTCAGTGGCTTGATATGAGGCCAGGGACCCTGTGTATGTCTGTGGCTTGTGTTACACCGAAGCTTATGTAGATGTCGATGGTCTGGACTGCCACCTGAACCATGTTAATGTGCATGTTCCTCTCCTTGAGTCCATAAATCCCACCCTATTCATTTCCGTTCCCAGGGCCTTAGCACTGGCCTGGAGTAAAAAGACTTGCTGAGAAGCTACCAAGTAGCTTAGGTACAGGCCCAGCAAGCACATCCTGCTGCCTGTCTTTGCTGTGCTTGCAGAGACAGCATAGCACTCCTACAGATGGACAGTGATCATTTTACCTATGGGTTTGTAACAGAGATCCTTCCAAGCCTGCCTCTGTAACCCATGTAAGTGAGTGCCGCACCTGAAGGGAACCCCTGGGATGTTTGCAGAGACAGAGAGACTGGAGGAGGAAGCTGAGTGTTAGGATGAAAGGGATGGCACCCATAGCAAGCTTCTTCCGCAGTCATGCCTATCCTCAAATTGGAATTTGGAGCGTGCCACTCCTGAGTATCTCTGTCACCTCAGCTGGCTCTCAGGATTCACCCCATGGCCAAGCCAAAGCTGAATGATGCCGTTTAGATGGAGCAACTGGAAGCCCGGAGAGATAAGAACCAGAGGCGGCTGCCTTACGGCTCTGGCTGTCCCTGCTCCCCGATGCTCACTGCTAAAAATAGCTGTACTTTTAGGCTCTCTGCATGGGCTGTGGAGTGGGAGGATGGTTGTTGATCTTCCATGCAGGTCTGATATCCTGGATGCTGTGCACAGCTCATGTGTTGTGGCCACTTATCTGCACGGAGATCATAGCGACTTAGCACAGGAAAGAAAGAAAGCCAATCAAGTCCATGCACAAAATTTTTCAGAGCTCCATTTGGATCCTGGTGAAAGGAGATTGTTCTTAGAGCATGCCTTTGCTTGATAGAAAAAGGCAGGGCTCTTGGAGTGCTTTCTTTTCTGTGGGGCTGGGCTTCTTCTCATCACAGAGTCATGAAGAAGCAGGGATTTTAAGAGAACCCATCTGATGCAGGATGCCTCTGTGCATGGGACAGGTGTAAAACCCAAGGTTGTTAGAGAATGATGTACACTGAGTTAGTATCAGTGTGACCTGGGCATGCCTGAGCTCTCTCTCCTTGAACTTACTTCTTCAATGGCCATGAGAAGGCCCAGGGGAATGAGCCAGCCCGAGTTTGACCCAGAGAAGCGAGCCTGGGTCACCCAAGTAGTTAGCCAACTAAGGCCACTTTGGGTTAGCCAACAGCCAGAGAGTCGCAGTCCTAGAAACAACCAGCCACCTTCTTAGAGTGGCCTCTAACTCAGCTGGGCTTAGTGTGGGTAGAAAGGCCTAGCCTTGCCTAGCCTGTAGCACTTTCAAGGCCTGTGAGCCAGCTCCTTGGTTATGCTTTTACAGTGATGAAGCAGACTGGTACTCAGCTTGATTGTGCAATGGAACATGGACACACTCCTTCCTCTTTGCTCCACTTTTGCCAAAGTCCCCACTAGTAGGAGGTTTTTGCCAGATGCCTGTCTCCCTTTATCCCTGTCCCTCACCCCTCATGGTTGTTCTTCTTGGCTGCTGGTTCAAACTCTGAATCTCAGCTCTATCTTAGGAGCCTATCCTACAAGACCAGGAGGGAGCAGGGAGGCTAGCCTGGGAGCTTTGGATTTTTGAGTGAGCAGCTCTGAGCATCATCAATAAAACATTCATGTGTGTATCTACACTTGAGATGCTTTTAACTCATCGAAAGGCAGCTATCTTGTCTCCACCGTGGCACCTAATGAGATGAACAGCAATACAAGGTTTCCTGTTCCACAAATTGCTTCCTAATGTGGTTTTCAGAAGGGGTGGGTGGGTGGGTGCAGTCAGAATGTGCCATGTGGCGACCCACTTAGGAATATGGAGGGTCCTGCCCCTGGTTATGTTTATACTGAATGGCACCTGCTCAATAGAAAAGCTTTAGAAGATGTAATATTCATAAAAACTCATGACATAAATGATCAAAGGTACAGAAAATTAAATTTCTGCCTCAATGTCTCTCAAAGGTATGACATGCTTATGGGGTCTAGTAAGAGGAACATCACTGTGGGTTTCCAAGGCTTCAGAACCCAGGTACTTCCATTTGCTATGAGGCCGTAGGAAATTTCTAGTCAATTGTGGGGAGACGTGAGTGTGCATAACGTGTGTGTGTGTGTGTGTGTGTGTGTGTGTGTGTGTGTGTGTGTGTGTG